TACAATTTTAACTCCGCCTACATAATTGTAGCCGGTCCCAAGCCCGGATAAAGGAGGAGAGTTTTCAACTATTTCATAATTTCTTTAATTTATAACACGAATAAAATGTACATTTTTTTTTTTCAAATAATGCAAAAAAAAAAAAACCGAGCCGGCTCAGCCCGGGCTTGACTCGGCCCGCTAAGGCTCGGGCCGATCCTCTTTTTTTTTTTGCCCGGCCCGGCCCTGCTCGGCTCTTTTTTTCAATTCGGGCTCGGCTCGTTGACATAACTATAAATAGTGGGACAGGCTAACATTATTATTAAACCTTCTAATTCTTTTACTTTAACAATTTCCATTCAGGAAATGAGAAATAAATCACAGTACAACTAGGAAATTGGTCCTCTCTACCTGTAAAAGAGCATATACCTCCAAATTATTTATGCTATCATGTGAGAGTCAAATAGAGAGAAAAACAATTATAAGTGAGTAGAGATTGGAAATATGGAAATGCAATTAACTTCCGCGTGTACTAAGGTGCATTGTTTATCCTCTATATGTGCTTGAAAATCATGAAATTTAAGATTTTGGAATTCATGTTCATACAATTGTTCGTATGAATTCCACAATATTAACATAGAAGAGTCATTGTTAAGGTAGTATACAGATATTAAAAAAAAAACCAAAAGGAGAGAAATCTACAAGTAAAGAAAAAGAAGCAACGAAATCATTTATAGATGTCTTTAGAAAATGATCAAAACGTGTATAGTGACGAAATGGATATTGTACAATTATGTACATATTGACTATCAAACGTTCATCAAAGAATATAAATTGTAAATTTAAAAATACAGTAAATAAACATTCTATACACAGATTTTCTTCGATGATGGAAGAGTTTTCTATACTTTCTCTCGTGTAATTGACAACACCACATCTATCTAAATATTTCTTTATACATTTTACCATCTTTTAAAGTACCATTTCTAAAGAAAGAATCTAAAGTACCATTCTATAAAAATTAAAAAAAAAATAGAGAAATGTTACATGTACCACCTGTTTACCGATTTTACAGGTGGCAAAATCTGCCACAATTTTTGACATAAAAACACAAAATGGCCCGGCTCAATGACCGGGCCAAAATACAGGTGCCAAGGTGGCGCCCTGTCAAATGTCCCGGTCATTGACAGGGCGCCGAGGTTAGCCCCCCCTCCAATAACAGGGCGCCACCTCGCCGCCCTGTCAAATGCCCCGGTCATTGAGCCGGGGCATCCATCATTTCCCATAATACTTTGGGGATTGGATTGGTAAGTGAAACTCTATATGATTGTAACAATTATGTCCCGGTCATTGAGCCGGGACAATCAGCAAAATCCAAACAGAATTAATTCAGTCATTGAAATGTTACCACCTTAACATCTGTAAATCAATCTATTAAAAGCATATGTACAAATAGGAAAATTGTAAAATATAATAAAACCTCAATTTTCTTTATTTTTTCATAGGCTTTACCCATACCAAACTCTTGAACAAGTCCTTTCTTCCAGGGGCAATGCCGCCACATCCCTTGACGTTGATTTTTCTTTGAATATATATACCTAATTCATTTTGAGTGCAGAAACCACAATAAAGTCGCATTTCTGGACCCCACAGATCACTATCAAAACCAAGAACAACGTCAAAAACTATGTCGTGTAGTTAAATACAATAAAAGCGCTAACCACTCACACGCTTCATCAGTGGTTCATGTCAAAAGAAATGATACAACTCCCACCCACCGTCCAGGTCTCTATCTATCACATCTAATTTTCCTTATCTGATAAACAAATCACATCCCAAAATGGAACCCACCAATTTTATTGTATTTGTTCCCTTGGATTTTGTCCCAAATATAGGACACACATAAATGGCAATAGATGATAAATCTTATCAAGACTTATGCACAGTACTGCATACCCCAATATACTGATAACTCACGGGACAATTCTACATGTACAGGGAAAGTTTCATAGGCGGTTTCCGTAAGTGGTTTACAGGTGCACAATTGTCAACATTTCATTATGTAATTATGCTATAGGGCCCGGCTCAATGATTGGGCCCACTCGGCACCCTCACATTGGGGCGGGGGGAGTCACCCTCCAATAACAGGGCGCCACCTCTGTGCCCTATCATTTGTCCCGGTCATTGAGCCGGGACAAATGGCATAATTCTTCATTATATGCTACCAACACAGCACCTGTAAACATTCTAATAGAAAAAACCCTGTACCAGTGGTTTTCCCGGACTTACGAGGCTAGGTTTAGGATCAAACAATCTAATGATTTTCACTCAAAGCAAAGACTTCTACTTTCAATCATCTCAATTAAAAATCAACTCATATTCAACGACAATAAACTAAACCTTTTATGACACTTTTATCCTCAAGCCAGTGCAGTGTGAGGTGATAGGCCTCAACGTGTTACCTAGGTCTTTTAAGTATTACAATCCTGCCCAGTTTCAATAATGGAACAAACATGAATGATGATTCAGTAGAATGGAACATTCGGAAGAGAGAATTTAAATAACAATCTTAAATATATGAAATACAATTAGAACATTGCCCATAAGTCATGTTTTTTCATTACAGCGCAAGTAACAAATGAAAACTCCAGCCGCGTATTAATCAACAAATGATTGAAGTTGAATATTATTATCAAAAAAATATTTTAGCTTAAAATTGAAACCATGAACTTCCAAACTCCAGCACTGCCTCAAATACTCCTCTTTCCATGGTATCCCGCCAGCAAAAATAAGCGACCAAAAGAATATATACTTCCTAGAAGTCTTGTTTGTCTAATTGAAATGAATTCATGTTTCAATTCCTAGACTCTGAGCTGATCAAGTTGCATCTGCTCGAGAGCCAAGCTCCTAAAACTGACTGATCAATAGAATCAATTTGAGAACTCGATTTTGAACCCTCACCGGATGGGGCAGCACCAGAAATAGGAGATGCAAACTTTTCCATCATCTCAGGTGGTGATTCTTTGACAAGAGATTGTACCCACGACAGATCAGGCTCCTCTCCCTCATTATTGGGTTCAACAGAAGTTGATCTTTTCATATGAGCATGATCACCTCCATTAACAGACCAATCAACTTTACCGTTGGGGGCTCCCCCCCACTTAGTGGTCCAGGAATTCACAGGTGACCCAACAATGGAGGCACGGTTGGATCCAAGATCCCGAGAACTGAGGATACGCAGCTGCTGCTGCTTCTCTCGTTGAGCAAAGGTTGAAAAATTGGCACCCATTGGTGAAGAGGGTTCCACACTTCTTGGTGACGACATCCTTGGAGATGAGACACCAAAGGAAGCCTGCAACAAAGAGTGTTCAACATTTCTAGGGGAAAATATGTTAGTATTGATTGGTGAAAGCACGTTCTGTTGCTGCTGAAACTGATTGAGAACCGCAGATTTGTGCTTAGGAGAAAATACACCAGAAGCCATTGCCTGATCAGAATATCCAGGCGACGATGCAATCTCTGCAGAAAATAGGTCCTCAAGATTGGAAGGAGTTAGTGTATTCGACCGACCAGAACGATTCAAAGCACCAGAATTAGGATGTGGCTGTGGCTGTGGCTGTGGCTGTGAAAAACAAGCCAAGTCATTCAAAACAAGTTGCTGAGCATTAAAATCCTGCAACATGTTCAAATCCTCAGGTAGAATGTCTCGGGCGCTAAGAGAAGATCTGAGACGGCTGGATTGGGTGTTGCTAGCAGGGAGATGAAGGGTCGGGACATTTGGTTGAGGCCAAGCTGCAGATGAATGAGACATCCCATTTGCAGTGGGCGACATGGGTTGTTTGTATGCAGGAGACATGACAGAGTGTGAAGAAGGTGACCCAGGTAAAAGGCTCAAGGCTGCAGCCATGTCCATGACACTAGCTGCAGAAGCAGCTGACCTTGGTGAAGGAACACCAGATCCAGTAGAAACATAGAGGGGTCGAAGCTCCTCCGGGGTGTGTGCAAAGAAACACACTTGTCTAGCACAGCTTGTGCCATCCTTGCACAGTCTTGTCCGATACTGAGCCGGGTGTAGCCAGCACTCAAACACGCCATGAGCATACTCACACATATCCCCTCGCCTACAGGCACCCTTACGAAAATCAGGACAAGGGACACAGCTGTAATGGTACTTTCGTGGGTCTCTTCTGCGAGCATTCTCTCCCGGGTGAACAAATGGACACTCAGTCCAATCATGAGAGTAGGCCCTTGAACAAGGCCTGACCTTGAATGAAAACATCCGAAACTCATCAGTTGAGAAAATGCTATTCTTGATATCGGGAAGAGATGGATCCACCGGGTACTGTTTTTTCTCCGACGTAGATTTAGCAGGGACATCATTTGCCTTAGAAGCCATAGGAGAAGATGCTGAATCTGATGGTGAACTCGGAGACCTACTTTCTGGGGAAGAAGATAGAACAGGTGACGCAGTAGAGTTAGCTATTGATACCCTTAAATTGTACTCGCCCACTGATCCATCAGAAATATTGTTCACAAGCAGTTCTTCAAGAGCAGCTTTAACACCCAGAAGTTTAGGAGGAACAACAATCACATCAACTGGGCGATGACGGTTGGCGTCTACAATATTTGGATCTGCACCAGCAGACAGTAGCAGCTTGATGGCATCAAAGGCAAGAATAGAGCCACCAGAGGCAGCACAATGGAGGGCAGTACACTTGTCTCTACCACATATTCTATTCAAATCAACCTCCGGCAGAGCAACCATCAGTTTCAAAACATCAACACTACCATAGGTAGCAGCAACCATCAAGGGGGTTCTTTCCTCAGGTGTGATCTGCTTTGAACCCTTCTTGCGAAGGTACCAAATACCAACCTCATCAACTGCAGACAAATTAAGCTCAATGGATCTCTTGAATTGTTCCACATCATTGTTGGCAGCAAATTCAAGTAGACTAGAAAAAGAATCTTCAGTCTCCACAGCTAAATTACTTGTGTCATTCATGTTATGTGATTTGGTAGCTATGGTGGATTGCGTAGTAGTTGAACTTGTATTTGATTGCTCTGGGCCACTGCACATTACTTCAATCAGCTGCAGTCAATCAAGAACAGCGTTGTTTAGATCAAGAGCATTATATATCTAACTGAAAATAAGAAATTAGAACAGTAATCTTTGAAAAGAAACTCTATAATGATTCATTAATTCTCATGAAGCTCTGAAAATGTTAAAATTCATTTTAAAAAAATATTATCTTGGGACGAGTAAATATTGAATAATAACAATTCAAAGGCTCATTCTACACCAAGAATCAACAATTACAGCATAATGATTGCAAACAGACCATTAATTTAGTCATAAACTTCAAAATCTTGAGATCAGAACAAAATTCAAGCAACTTGTTCAACCAATAAAACCAATCCAATAACACAAGGCTTCAAATATTTTTTGCTCGTACATGGTTAAAAATATCATAGACCCCAACTTTCCCAAAGGAATTAAATACTTCTCGGGCCAATTATTGCATCAGCTAGACAACGACTTCGTAGAACAAATTTAGTAGATGAAAATCATTGTCAAACACAAAATCTTTCGCAAAAACAAATAAGAAATAGAAAAAATATCATATTTCTAGTACTAATTAATTACACACATCTCAAAAAGATCAAAATTTTAAAAGTAAAGATACATATGAACATAAACACAAAGAAACATTCGCGTGTCCTATGTTTATATTCGTTATGAATCATACAAAGAAGCACAGATCTACAAGATCAAGATGAAACCACGATATACCTGTACCGGTACAAGTCTAGAAGCATATATCAGTTCACAAGTTAATGGATAAATCGAATTTATCTATTAAAATAATCATTTCTTTAACTCAGATATTCCGACTGAAAATTAAAGTAAACCCCAGCGAAGTAAGAAAAGCTGCCCATTAAATAAAACTTACCGATGATCCGAAAAGAAGATTTTTACAAGATCTGTAAATGGTTCAGTCAATTATCGATCTTGGGTTTGAATTTTAAGAAGAAAGTAAAAAAACAAAGTGTGTAACAAATGGAGTTCCCACTGAAGAAATTTTCATCGTACAGATAACAATTAATAAAAAGGAGAGAAGAAAAAAAGTTTCAGGTACCCATACGGAGATATAGGTGAAGCAAGCGTGCGTATGTATGTATAGGAGGGAGAAGAAAAATCGAGAGAAAGCGAAAGATGGGCCTTGTTTTGTGCTGCAGGGAGAGAGGGTCAAGTGTGTGTAGTAGAGAGATGGAGGAACGGTTTGAAATTCAATTGAAATATAGATGAAATGCAAATACAAATGTAAATGATGTTGAAATTTACGCGAAATGAAATGTAAATGCCAGTCAAATTCAGAGGATATTTGAAAGTGGGGTTTTGGCCGGTAGGATCTAGGGAGCGTTTGGATGCACTTTTTTCCTTTTGTTATTTCCAATTTTTCTTCACTCTAGTTACCTAGACAGTGTTCGGTGGAGATTAAAATTAGATTTTTAGTAAATTGTGATAGAATTTTTTGAAATGTGTGGTTGAAAATTTGTAGGACCCATGAAAAATGTGGTTAATATTGATTGTTTAACTTTAACTTAAATTAAAATCAAATTTTAATCCGAACCAAATAGGGGCTTAACGAGCTATGCTATATGTACACTTTGATTTACACTCATGTGTGTTGACAGATTTGAACTCATTAATTTTAAAAATACATTTTTCAATCAATAGTTAGATTTTTGATACGTAATAGCTGTCAATCGAAGTGTACACATTTGATTGTACAAGTAGTTTTATTCTTACTTAACTTGCTAACGGTTAACAATGTCAAGTGTCAACAATCATGTCAAGGAAGGAGCGTACAAATGACATTTTCCAGTTGCTTATTTATTTTCCTTAATGAATATAGAATAAAGCAATTTAACATTTGTTTGTCTACCAACCATTATTTAGAAACTTTTTTTTTCTCAAACGCATTTTCAACTGTACATTCTCGTAATAAAATGTCTTTCATGTAAACCCTAAATTTTTTCTTACTTTTTTAATCACACATTTTTTAAAAAAAAAATCACAATTTTCAGAATCATTCTCCTATAGGAACTAAAAAATCTTTTGTATCGAAGGAAAGTGCATTATTTCAACCTTGTGTAAGAGTAACTGGTCAAAGAAAAATAAGTTGCAACCAGTTTTTTGTTCTAAGAGCATCTTCAAGAAGTTCTTTATTTTTAAATAGCATATTCTATTATTTAGAGTTAAAATTTTAAAGTACTCCAACAAACTCTTTATTTGGAGTTAAAATTTTACCACAACCAAAAAATATTTATTATTTTTCTTTATATTTTATTTTAACTAACTTTTTTTAAAATTATTTTATTATTTTCCTATATTGAAATTTGAAACACATTTGAATGCATTTAAGGAGTCTCTTGGATATGCTCTTAGTCGTTAAGCGACAAATTATTGCACCAATATATATATATATATATATATGTATGTATATATTTCTAATTTTATTTTAAATCGATATTCAACAACTCATTTGTTTCAAGACAATTAAATTCCCATAAATAACGATATAATTATGTTGTAAATAGCATGCAATTTTGACTATGAATGGACAAAACTTCCGAATTAAATCGGATCAAACTGAACTCGAACCTAACTGAACTGATTCAAGCTATTTTTCTTAAGTTAAATAGCTGAACGGGTATCTAAATCAATAACAGACGGGTATAATTCGATTCTAGATTCTAGACCAAGAACTGAATAAGAATCGAATCTCCCTAATTTTTTTAATTCTTTTTTATCTTAAATGAGTCAAATTATTTTATTCTTTCTAAATAAATTTGCTAATTAATTAATTTAGCCAAAACTCAAAATATGATTTTTCTATTTCTAATATCCAGCGAAGCCCAATTTAATCAAATATTTCTAAATTTTACCCAAATATCTTATTCTACCGTAGTACCGTTTTCGTCATTTTGGAGAAATCGAATTGGAAGCTCGATTGCGCATCCCTTCATTATTGTGAGCTCACCATCCTCATCTTCCTGTGATTTTAACAGTCAAATTTATGAAAAATTCAATAAAGAGAGGGGCAAAAGATATCACGGGGATTGTACTACATTATTTTGTAAAAAGCTAAGATTAAAAATATCATAATTGAATTAATGTAACATTGTTGTAAATATTAAAAAATTAATTATTGTATGAAACTCGGGAACTGAATAGAACCAAACTGAGGCGGACCAACCCGAAATCGAACAGTTCCATCATTAAATTTGAATCTGACAGTTCCGCTTCAATATTTGAATTTATAATCAAATCGGGCCATATCCAACCCTAATTTTAAGACAAATAAAGCCCATGTTTTGAAGCCCTTTTTTGGGAAAAATATAATTCGAAATAGTGCTTTTTTTAAGAGTATGTGATAAAAAAAATAAGACAAAAAATTTGAATTTACGTATAAAATAATTTTATGTGAGTGTTGAGTTTAAAATGAGTTTTAAAGAAAATGGGGCTCAAACAGGGGCAAAGTCTCTTCTAAGCTCGGTTCCATTTTACTAAAATTAAGATTTTGGTAAAATATGTTATTGAAAAATTAATAAAAGTTGTGAGTTTAATCAGACATTCATTCATATTGTTAATTGTAGATGTAGATACGAACACCTAGTCTTGCATTATTTA